AGTTCCATTCACTTATGCGTCAAATTATGAAATAAAATTGCTCTTGACATGTTCACGTCTTGAATTTTACATGTTTCTAAATTTTCAGTTTTAAATTGTACCCAGCTCCGAACGTTTCTGTCTCAAATTGTCCTTATCTTTAAATGTTTCTGCCTCAAACTGTCCTTATATTCATATATTTCTGCCTCAAATTGTCCTAGATCCCTACAGCATCTATCCTGAATCCCTGACTCGTAGCCTAGCCCAAACTCGCAAAAAAGACTGATTTAAATCGGACCCACACAAATGGTGGAGTCCCAGAGCTGATGTGGAAGTTGGGAAACGCACTGGAAGGGCTTGATTAATTATACCCCGCAAAAATGGAAATCTCTGATTCCTGTAAAAATAAATATTCTGCCCCAATTCACCTGGAAAAGGTTGATAAAAAGTCAAAATGAAAAGGCTTGGAAAAAAATGGGAAGCGACTAAAATAATTCCTGCCCTAAAAATGTTGAAAATCCCATTCGTTTACCCAATTACCGACCTCCGAAAAGTCTCGTGAAATCTTTAAAAATTAATCAGGGTCAGGGACTTGGAGCGTTGAAGTGATGATAACCTTGTCCTCGCCTGTTTAGCTTGCCTTTACTTATGACCTATCAATTTTTTACTTACCATCATGACGATTTGGCGCATTTTTGAACTGTAGGCTGGGTATGAAGCGTGGTTCCATTGCTTCAATTTCATGGAGAACTGCGTGTACAGCCCCGATGATGTCGTTATTGATGGCGTCAGAAATTGTTCTCTTTCTCTCGTACACCGTGTACGTCAGGAATTTGTCTAGCTGATGAAGCATGTGCGAATGCCCCCCACCTATTGCATCCGGTGGAGCGAGCATTTTTTCCCTGCTAAATATTCTGATGAAACGAAATCAATTTCAAATACTGTACTCAAATACTTAGCTGTCTTCTTGTTTAATCGGACCATAAACTGATTTCTTTCTGGTTTCGGGTTACAGAATCGTCTATGTGAATCATAGAAATGACGGAATAAGTAAGAAAAGAGTTGAAGATTTATAAACATCTTGTGAATGCATGGAGTTCGGGGAATTCCGGTCCAATTTTAGAATTGAAAATTTGCGCGAACTGGAAGCGGATTGTGCAAATTTAAACTTAGAGCGCACAGAACTCGTGTACAAAATTACCCTTTTTCCGTGTTCCTCGCATGGATGGAATAAGATGGGAGGTTCGTCGTTAATTAGCAGTAAGTCGATGATGAGGAATGTATATTTGTTTCATTTAATCGCGATAAATATTTGTTCGTGGTTTGCGAGGCACAAGAAACCCGTCGTATTTTTTGTATAGAAAAAAATGTTTAGCGTAATAGCCGCCTGTTTCGACGCATTTAAAAAAAATCTAGTGCATCCAGGGCTGACATAAGTTTTGATTCTCCGTTATTTTTTTGAATGACTCAAGGAGATTTGAAACTTCAGCATCGAAATGAATTTTTCCCTTTCTCTCAAGTCTCAAACCTTTAAAAAAAATAAATCACAATGAACCGCTTGAAACATGATGAAATCAGTTCGTTATTTGTCATAGTTCTTGGCATCAGCTGTGTTACTTCCTGATCGCCACACATCTCAATTTCCCGCAGTGACCAATACATATTTTAATATATTTTGATGCAATCTGAAAAATATGTCGAACATGGTCTCAACTTGAGTGAAAAGCACTGTACAGTACTTGAGATTTCAAACTGTGACTGATATTCTGAGAACTTTCGGACCTCCTCGCATATTTTGAAGACGTGCATAAATGTATAATGCCGTCATGTAAACTGGGGCCAGTAATTTTTCAAAGATTTTCTTCCTTGCGACGTCCGAACACGTGATTGGGATTGCTATGCAGTACTGTACTTCGTTTACTATTATATCACCCATCAGCATAATCACGAGTAACACAGCAATCGCGACAGAACCGGAAATTCTTGGTACAGAAAGCAAGGTGTGAATGGGTTCTGTTCGTGTTTTCCGGAATCTTTCGAAGGCAGTTGAGGGAAGACTATCTCACTAGACTCCAGGGGAGCTGGTTAATACTGTACGTGTTACGAGAGAATAGTGTAGTGAGAAGGCGGAGCTACCGCCAACTAGGGAAGGGGTTTCCACGAAGTAACTGTACAGGCTGACGCTCGTAATTAAAAAAAAGAAGATTTTCCCTCTTTGTTCGATACGATTTGACGAAAGGTTTAGTGAAAGGTACATTTCAGAATTACGGGTAACATTTTCTTGAAGCAAAAAGTAATGCTGTTATTTTCCGCTTTTCATACAGAACCACAGTAAAAAAGAATTCAAAGGATATTTCAAAATATTGACACGTGCATATCCGACATCTTCGGATACACCGAACTCTTTCATCATCCCCGCCGACGATTTGAAGTCCATTGCTAGTAAAATTTCAATTGACTTTTTAAATTTTTGTCTGCACAGTAACTTTTCCCGACACCCCGCATGCATGTCATGTGCGAGGCGTCGAAGGTGGAGCTAAATGGCATGTCCCGCCCGTTCCCTTTATTGGAGGCGGAGGAATAAGCGATAAATGCTTTTATTCTCGTTCAAGATCAGACATTTTCTTGTCTCAACATTTTTGGATGCTTACCTTTGTGGCTTTGTGCAGTGTTTGAAAGGAATTTACCAGAATGCGCAAACGAGCGTCAGAAGTTGATTTCTTGACGATGATCATCACTTCGCACTGCTTGAAGGGCGCAAACAAGAAAAAAAAACCTTTCTTTTCTAAAGCCTCGACAGACATTTAGGTCCGAATTTTGATTATGCGAAAAAGTCGTAAATTGAGCAGGCGTCAGGTTGTTTTCTCTCTAGGTTCACGTAAAGCTGTCTCGTAAAAACTCGCGACAAGTGAATGTAATTTTCATCTTTTCTTTCCCTTTTGATCGTGTCTCGAGATTGTACAGTATTTTTGTTCGTGTTTTTCTATTCTCGTAATTGTTCTTTCATTGTCCTCTTCAGGTGCTGGATTATTGCGAGCACATTCACGGAAAATGGCATTTCAGTGAGGTCCGCGCTATTTTCTCGAGGCGTTATCTGCTGCAAAATCTCGGTCTTGAGATTTTCTTGGCTTCGAGAAGTGAGTCTTTGCAAATTTCTCCGCATGTTTCAATGCGTCAAGTAATTGTGGCTTGACGCATTGTAGGAGATGATCACTGATGAGAGCAGGCAATTGAACCTCGAACCTTCCTGTCGAATACCTTCCTATGTCAACATTTTTCGCAAGTTTCTCTTAAATTCATTTAAAAAAATATGCTTTATAAGTCGACTTTCCCCCGCAAACCTCCGTAATTGAAATTTTCTGGGAGCCTCTTGGTTACTATTTTATTTTTTTTTTTGATGCAGGAAAGAAAACAGTGGCGGAAGTGTATCTGGATGTATTTTGAGAGGAAGTGAATGACGAATTCGACAAATAATCTCTTGTCTTTAACTTCAGCATCCTGTCAACTCATTCAAGAAGCAATTCAAGTCCCAGAATATCATCTAATACAATTTCCTCTAGTTCTTGCTTCGCCCCAACAAAAATTCTCGTTTCCCTACCTCAAAACCTCCTTAACAGGAAGTTTTTTTTGGCTGGTCCCTTGATGTTCAACTTGGAGGGGTTCGACTCAACTCTGCAATTGAATGAATTAGCTGTGTAATGGCTCTCCAGTTGAGAGCGGTTTTATGAAGACCATTCCGACGAGTAATTTGCAAAAGCGATGCACAATATATTATTTTAATTGATACTTTTTCGTGACTGCAGGTGCGGTGATGTTCGCGTTCAGTGACGCCGGAACTGTGAAGAGAGTGGTTCGAGCTTTGCCACGAGTTGGTGTGGGAATCAAGTACGGAATCCCCCAAACCCGTCGTTCGTCACTGATGACACCTCGTCAACTCTTCCGCGCTTCCAACATGACGCAGAAGTGGCAGCGCCGAGAAATCTCCAACTTTGAATACCTGATGTTCCTCAACACAATTGCTGGTTCGTTTTTTAGTTGCATCTTCTTAAAAATCATTACCATTGTTGACAGTGCGACGAAATTCTGCCGCCCGATTCGTGACACGAGCAGTTTTTCTTTTGTCTAATTTCTGAAAACTTGTCTTACTAAACTTCACGTTCAACGAAAAAAGTGTAATTTTCGAAGCTGGCGAGTTCTGTGCTTTTGTCAATCGTTCCGAAAATCTTGAAAAAGTTTTGAATGAAAGTGTGCATGCTTTTTCAGTTCAATAAAACACATGTCTTTCGAAATTATGATCACAGTTGCGTGTTGTGTTGAATGGTAAATACCACACGGGAAACCTATGATATTTTGCACATTCATAGGGCGAACTTACAATGACTTGAACCAATATCCTGTGTTCCCTTGGATCCTTACTAACTATGAATGTCCTGAGCTGGATCTCTCGCTGCCGTCCAACTACCGTGACCTGTCAAAGGTGATTTTCCCTCGAGAACTTTTAATATTTTTGATCATTCAGCCCGGAATTTTCGTATGTTTGACTGTATTTTTTGTTCATTCAGCCCATCGGAGCCCTGAATCCATCGCGAAGGCAATTTTTTGAGGAGCGGCATTCAACCTGGGAACATGAACAAATTCCGCCTTTCCACTATGGAACTCATTTTTCCACCTCGGCATTTACCCTCAACTGGCTCGTGCGAATCGTGAGTTTTTTCGAAAAAAAAAAAACAAAGACACGTGCGGGGAAAATTGTTCAGTTGAAAACCAATTGATCATAGAAAAGCAGTTCAAAATGTGAATTACGTTAATTTAATAGGTACGATTATTCGAACAATTTCCGAAAATATGTTTTAAATGAAGTCGTTCAAGAGGGTTAGGATCTGTGCTTGATGATTCAGTTATACTTGCATATTCCGTTTATAATTTGTGTATCATCTTGCTTTCCAGGAACCATTCACAACACTTTTCCTAAACCTGCAAGGTGGGAAGTTTGATCATGCGAACAGGATGTTTTCGTCCATGTCTCTGTCATGGAAGAATTGTCAGAGAGACACGTCAGATGTTAAGGAACTGATTCCTGAATTCTTTTATCTGCCTGAAATGTTCGTAAATGCCAACGATTACAACCTCGGCTGTAGTGAGGAAGATGCCCGGGACATCGGAAATGTGGATTTACCGCCGTGGGCGAAAACTCCCGAAGAGTTTGTGCGACTGAATAGAATGGTTCGTTGAATACACTAGTTGATGTTTCCCTGATAGAGACAAAATCCGAATTATTGCGTGTGAAGGTACATTTATTCTGTTAATAAATTTATTACTTATTACTTTCAATAGGCGTTGGAGTCAGAAATAGTCTCTTGTCAATTGCATCAATGGATCGACTTAATTTTCGGCTACAAACAGCGAGGTGAGTGATTTTTGTCACTTATGCAGGATTTCATTTGAGATCATTTTCGGAACATCAATTCTGGGACATAGTCGTTTTGCATGTGGAAAGATTCAAGCTCTGCCTGAAATTGGCACAGAACAACCGTTCAAATTCATTGGGATGTAAAATTTAGTAAAATATTCATCAAGGCTCGAGGGAGTGCATTTTCAAATTGTTAATGCTGCGGTACAGGAAAAAGGAAGCACCGTTCTCAAATTTTCATTTAATTCGAGAAATGATAAAAAAATCACTCGTTTCTCTCTCACTTCAGATTTCCGATGTCGATTTCCATCTTCTGTCTTCGCTTGAAAATATTTGAGCATTCCCGAAATATGCAAGGGAAGGAGAATTATTCTTATATTTTTATTGTTTAGCCCTTTTCGTGGTTTTTATGAATACTGCGACTGACGAAAAAAAGTCAGCTCTTCGTGAACTCATGGATTTTGTCCTTTGAGCGGGGATTTTTTTTTTTTCGTTTTTAAAAGGAAAGCAAACTGAAGCAATAGTTGAACGAAGTAGTTTCTGACGCTCATGAGGTTTGTGCGCTGAGTAATGGTGTCATGGTAGTCAGCAGTGGCTCGTGTAATCCGTATCCGCCTCTGCTCGAAAAACCTTTGTGCTGAATGAGGCAAGACTGAAAATCGCAGCAAATCTGGTTCACGGAAAAATGCAAGCGAAATTTGGCGAGTTGGATAAAAAGCTATCAGACATTGAGGCCACAATAAATGTGCTGTACCCGGAATTATTTTTCTGCTCCAATCGACTTTGAACTAAGTACAACGATCTTTTTTTTTAGTAGTCGGCATATAATGATCGCGCAGAAGTTGAGATGCTTGCTGGAATTGAATATAAAATATGAACGTCTTCCAACATAATTTCAGCTAATACTGTACATATGATACATGAACGATTTTTCGAGGCCGAGAACCGTCGGATAATCATTGGTACATACTTGATGGCGTATAGACATGTATGCCCCGCGCACGTTTTCCCTTAAAAATTTGCCTAGAAGAATGTATTCGTCCATCATATAAATTTGAAAGATTTGCGAAGTGAGGCCTGAAAGGGATTTTTCTGAATTTTTAGCATAAAAGGCCTAGTGTGCTTGTGGGCCGCATGTTAGAAGAGTACACCATTTTCTGCATCAATTCAAATCTGAGAAAAGATTAAAGAACGCATCATTATTTCTGAGCCCAGCAAATTCGAACCATTTTGCCTGTGTGTCATGTGAGTCATACTTACATGCCATCAATATCTCCAGAATGGGAGGAATATATTTACAGTATTTCACTCCTGTTACTCAGTTACCAAATTAATGTCCTCAAACACTCCAATATCAATCAGCATTCAAACTTGTGTTCTTGATACTTTATAACACTGACTGAAAGGATTGTTCAGTTATATTTCAAATTTTTAGCACAAGATTTATTCATTTATCAGAATTCGGAAGCAATCATGCATTTTTTACCGTTGAATCGAGGTCGCCATCGAAAATAGATTTACAGTATTATACATCAAATGGAAGACTGAATGAGGTCTTGAAGCAACAGACTATCCCTGGTTTTTTCCCCGCCAATTTTAGCAAAAACTGATATTTTTCAAATTCAGAAGAAACCTGAAAAACCGGTGAATGTGAAAGATCAAGTGGAAAATTCGTGTCTTAGGCTCAGCGTAAGAACTTTACAGCGCCCCTTCTCAGCATACCAATTTTTCCACTCAGGCTAATATTCCACTTCGCTTTGTTTTCAATTGTTACGACAAGAAACAGAACCACAGTTGAACTTACGTGTTTTTTTTTTCCTGCATTTGCGGGGTCTGGTGATTTTAAGCAGAACACTCCACCCCTCATCCCGTACCTTGCCTTCCGCTGAAAAAAATCTTTTTGTCGGAATTGTTCGAAACCACGCGTGAGTTTCTTCTGCGAATGATCTTTTTCCTTATGCGAAGAGGAATTCTCATTTTGACAGATGAACGAAAACTAGGAAGTCGAATATTTTTGTATTGGCACTTCTGTACTTGTTTTTGGCGTCGAGGTAGAAGCTTCGGTTCAGTCATTTCTACCCTGAATGCTGAATGATTGACGGGTTCTTGCCAAAAAGAATTTCGTTTCCATCGAGTTTTCCCTTGGAGATCTTAAATGTTTTTCCTATGGCATTTCGCAGGTCCGGAAGCTGTAAGAGCCACAAATGTTTTCTACTACCTGACCTATGAAGGTAGCGTGGATTTTGACTCGATAGGTGATCCTGTGATGCGTGAGGTGAGCATTTTGACGATATTTTCTTTAATGCAGTGTTATGCGATTGTACATAATTTTTATCGTCCAGAGATCGTCTATTGAATAAATTTACTGCCGTGTTTTCTGAAAAAAAAAGACGTGTCCATATTTCTACACCAGGGCTCAGGATATGTATTAGGGCTCAATTGAACTGTATATTTTGCGGGATCCTACTTCTGCTGCTTTTCATTTGCATGGTCATCAAAAATAATTCCTGTTGAGAAGCGGATTTTTGACGCACCTTGAAACTTTGCTGATTAAATTCCTCTGAAATCAAGGAATACTGTAGCCCCAATATGTCATGTGCTGTGTACAAATTTTAAGCAGATTTTCCTTCATTCCAAAGTGAAATACAGTAATTTTGGAGGATTTTTTTGTTCAGGTCGAAGTTGTATTACGAGGTGGGCCTTAAATTTTGCTGGGTAGTATTTTGAGTAAGCCATGTATTTCAAGTGAAGAAAGGATTGGCACGATGATTACGCGTAGGTTTTAATCTGGACATTATTATTGTACTGTATTGAATAGTACGTGCGATGAACATGATTGGAGTTATTGAAATTAAACTACAGTTGATTTTTTTGGTTGTTGCTGGAAATCCTAACTATTCTGACGGCTAATGCCATAGAATAACTCGATGGTACAATACTAAAAAATATTTTTCATGTTCTTTTTTTCATTTTTCATTTCAAGGCGGTGGAAAACCAAATCCGGAGCTTTGGGCAGACCCCGAGTCAGCTTTTACTGGAGCCACATCCTCCTCGTGCATCGGCGATGACAATTGTTAGTATACGGTGGAATCCATCCCTGAATACTAATGTATGTTTTTCGTCGTAAATTCGAGGATGAATCCCGAGAATTATCCGGACACAAATCGTAGAAGTGATCATTGAATTCTCACGGCGTAGAAATCTATTGTCATTTGTGTATTAAATTTTTTTGGTCAGGAGCAGTTGGTTTGTCTTGTACCTGGTATTCGCCCGAAGGTCGAATGTTTTTCTGGCACAATGTTTTTCTGATGCTTTGAATTATTATCCCTGGAAAAGGGCATTTCAGGAATTATTACCTGCATGTCAACAGGCATTTTGTGATGAAAGTTGAATTGTCTCTTTGCTGAAATTTTCAGAGCCCGCTGATGTTTGCGGCACCACCAGATGATGTATGCATGGTGCTGAAGTTCCAAAGCAATAGTGCCATTGTGCACCTTTCAGCCAACACATTCCCACAGCTGCACATGCCGTCCGTTGTTTCCGTCGCTCAGAATCTTCACTTTTCTCTGAACAGATGGAACCACAATTACTCAGGTAGGGGCGTTGGTTTCCTTGATTTAATCCTCATCCAGTTTGAAATTACTGATCAGCGAAGTGAAGAACAGTTAACTCTTCTCAGTTTTTCATTGACGTTGGTGTGACAATTTTAAAAGCTGTCGATTTGGGTGAAAGGACGATGCGACATTTGCTGGGCATCCATTGAAGCAAAAAAGTGATCTCACGTAATCACACTGTTTTTTCCAACATTTTTACAAATGTGTCTCAGGTAACCAAGGAGGTGGTTTCGGAGACGCCGGAGGAGGCGGAGGAGGTGGGAATGGAGGATCCTCGGGGTCCATAGTAGGATCATCATCTGGTGGAAGTGGTGGTGGAGGATCAGGATCCGCTGGCTCAGACAGAGGAAATACCAGTCAATCCCAGCTGCTCAACTTGCCACTTATCCTAGACCCTATGTTGAGTAAGTGTTGTATCTAAAGAAAATGTTGATGGAAGTTAGAGGGCTTGTCAATCGTTTTTTTCTTTCTCAAACTTTCGTAACTCGAATTTTCTGTGGCCTTCTGGCTGTTACTTTCTAAAATGAAAAAAAATAAATAAATAAAAGCGAAGACTAGACTAATTGGGCAAATTAACCCTTGAGTCCAAGTTCAGCATTCTGTCAACTCATTCAAGAAACAATAAGAAGCCTAGAATATCACTGTTCACAATTTTCTGCAATTCTTCTAAGCTTCCCCCAACACAAATATAGCTTCTACCTTGAAATTCGAGTTGAAGAGGTTCGTCTAATGGCCCGTCGTACTTCTGAAATGTCACATTTCAAAGCAGCCGTGTATCCTCGAATTACCTTATTGCAATTTCTACTTGGCAGACATGATTTCCGGTGGATCTGCTCCTGGCTCCAGACGCCATTTAGGCGATAACTTCAGTCAGAGGGTCGGACTTATTCGCTCAGCGCTGTTTCTCACCACGGTGGACTCGCGGTTCATCATAGCTGGCGGATTTTGGGACAACTCGTTCCGCGTTTTCAGCGCAGACACCGGAAAGATTGTGCAGATCGTGTTTGGTCACTGGGGCGTCGTCACGTGTCTAGGACGATCCGAGTGTAACGTTGTTTCTGACTGCTTCTTGGCTTCGGGCTCGGACGATTGCACCATTCGTCTCTGGCTTTGGAACGCCCGAGCTCAGTTGGTCACTTCTGGAGGAGGAACTGGAGACGGGAGTGGAGCAGGAGGATTAGGGTTGCTTTCTGGTGGTATGTCGTCGTCGGCGAATGATGGAGGTGGCAATGGAAGTGTCGCCCCTGCTCCCAGAGCAGTGTTGACGGGACATGAGTCGCCCATCACGGCGCTGGTCATTTCGGCCGAGCTTGGACTCGTTCTCTCGGGTTCTGCCGGTGAGACTTGCGTGTCCATCATGCATGAAGTGTCACAATTGCGGTTTATGAACGAAAACGAGGTTTTTTGTTCCTTACGGATTACAGTAGAGTAGAATGCCGAATCTTATCGTTTTTCATGCGATGTACGATGTTAAAATATCGATCGATTGATCCGAAACAGCCAGCTTGCGTAATTTGAAAAGTGAGGCGCATGATTTTCCTGTGTTCAACTTATCGGATTAATGCACTTACATGCGCTGGTTAATGGATGTCAGTTTTTTTTTTCGTATGCTCATGACAATTTTATTGCTTCGACTAACCGTCATGTTTGATTACTGGGATAAAACAAACACGAAGCCATGACGACAGATGAATCTGAGTTCTACTGTTCATGCATTTTTCGCGCTAATTTTCGATTTTACTTAATTTTTTTCAACCAATCGATAAGTGGGAACTGACCGTTTGATTCATTCATGCAAGTACGGTTTATAGAACGGTATTGTATGTAATACTGCAGCTTGAGTACTACAGCTATCCTGGTTAATTCTGATTGAATTAGAATCAATGCGTGGAACAGTCTTGATTCTAATCAGGCCAAATCAATCGAATTTCTTCGGGGTAAGACAAGTTATGCCATATTTTTCAACTATCCTTTCACTGCATAGTTTTAGAAAAACTTGCTGTTGAATAAATGTAGTAAACGGATGGAGTTCAAGAAGAGGCTTCTTTATCAAAGTTAAGGCTCGTGATACGAAATTTTTACGTACTGTTCATTCATTGAATTACACGAACTCAACAATAGGTCTAGGTTTTAGAATGCTTGCTTGCTTTTGATGCATCAATTATTGATCTACCGGTGTGTGAAGATTGACGCAATTAGGAATTATGTTTTTCCTCCTGCTGTGCCTTGTGCAGTAGTATATTTTTTTTTAATTGCCGATTACTCGTCATCTTTTCGTTGGCTTCGTAGGTGTAGTTCTGAAGAAGTAGGGTTAATTTCATGTCAATTCATGCTTGATTTTAGGCGGTCCTGTGTTGATCCACACCATCAACGGAGACCTGTTGCGTGCGCTGGTCAAGCCAGATTCATTCACATCCCCGGACCTGATCACTCTGTCCAAAGAAGGGGTTGTGGTTGTCAAGTATGACGCAGGCAACCTTGCTGCGTATACCCTGAATGGTACATTGTTGAGGTGGCACAGCCAGCCGGACCACGTGCACTCCGTTGTGCTTAGTAGAGATGGCGAATATTTGCTGACTGGTGGCGAAGCAGGAGTGGCGCAAGTTTGGCGAACTTTCACTTTGGCGCCACTGTACGCGTATCCTACATGTGACTCACCTATTCGGTCGTTGGCTTTGTCGCATGACCAACGGTGAGCGTTTTTTTTTTTATATCAAAATTTGACGTGCTGTTGGATTTGTCTGAGGGTGTTTTCTCGTGTGGCCAGTACTGCTTTACTATAGTAGAGGGAAATTTTGTCACGACGAATCCCTTTAGAACGAATTTTTCAAGACTTGAACAAATTTTCGTCATAATTTCGCTTGGAGTCACTCTACCGAACCGAAATTGTCGTTATCTTGGATTTCGTAAGGATTTCTTGAAGACTAATCGCTAGAATTCGTGTTAGCGATAATTTTCCGACCGACTTCTTCTTTGGGGGAAGACATTTTTCATACTTGTTCTTTTTTGTTGCAGATTCTTGCTCACTGGACTTAATGCTGGCTCGATAGTCCTGTTCAATATCGATTTCAATCGATGGCACCACGAGTATCAGGATCACTTTTGAAGCTTGAGCGTGACGAACGATCGAGAGCCACTCATCACTTCGTGGAAGTGATTTTTTTTCTTCTGGGGTGTGTCGCGAGAATTGGATGCCAAATGCTGTTGTGATAAGCGGAGGATGAACACGTTAGAAAGTCGAGAGAGATAATATTCTTTACGACTTTTGGGTGCCTAGTCGAGACAAAGAAATTGCGGTGTATGGTTCTTTCCTCTTCCTTTTTTTTGTTTTGAACTTCAAGACCAGTTGTGGAGAAGACCCTACGTTACTCTCTGGACTGAACGCATTGCTCACCTCACGAATTTTGTGCATCTATTTGAGTACGAGTTGTAGCTCTGGCATTGCAGGAATCGGCTGAGAAAATAATTTCGGGTGCTTCAGTCAGACGTTTCAACGGTCAGACTTGCCAACGGTTTGATCCTTACAAGAAAGGAACTGTTAGCAAGAGAGTAACTGAAAATGACTGTCGGTGAAGTCTCCTTTAAATCTCACGAGTTACGACGTTTGAATTGACTTTGCGGTTTTACACGCCCTTTTACGACGCTCTTCATATTTTTGTTATTCCTGATGGGTTGTGGGTGAAATTCTGGTTGTTCTGAAAATTTATTTTCCAAGTTGTTCATCTCTGTTTGAAACTGCTAGATTACTTGATGCGTGCGAAATGTTGCTTTCTTGTTCGGCTGACGGTCCTTGTTATTCAATTCAACCTGTATAACTTCAACCTGTGTGTTTGGGTTGTTGATTTCAAATTCCCTCGAGTTATGGATATTACATTGCGAAAAACGGTCAACAAATCTTAAACAGTACCAACTCGTAGTTCTTCTTTACCCTAGTTATGCGGGTTCTCTTGTGGATTCGTTGCGATTGATTTTTGTAGATCGCCCTGGGAAATATTGCGTGTTATGTAAAATGATATCCCCAGTCTAGTCGTATTCTCTGGTGGTTTTGGTCATATGGATTATCAAGACTCATCCAAAGCGTATAAAACAGAATTTCCAAGATCCAATTTTTTTGATCTCATGATTGTGCATCGAGAGAGAACGTTATGCAGTATATATATATATATATATATTGTTCCACTGGGTAGGAGCTTTCACGGATGCGTTTTCCACTAATTTGCAGTGTACCCAGGATTTCGCACAGCCACACTGGTTCGCTCAGATGTTGCCTTGGTGCTGAATCGGGGATAAATTCAAGTTTCCAGTATGGAAGTGCAACCTGATACAACGGAGGTAGTGATGTTCTCGTGGCTGAGGGTGTAGCAAGGCACGGAGAATTTTATCTGAAATTTTATTAGATTTCTAGTAGCGGATTTTTGATTGAAAAGAGATATACGAGACGCGAGCATTCCAGGAATCAAGAAGTCAAGTCCATCCATTCTGTCATAGTGTGAAAGTGGGAAAATGGCCCCTTTTGACAATCGCTTCATTTTTTGCGAAATGGTCATTTCAGAACGAAAAAAACGGCATCCGTACGAAAAGCAAGGTCCCATTTTGCTCACTTTGTCAGTTTTTCGTGGAAGCGCGTGTGGTTTTTTGTGTTTTTTGTTTTGCTTTGAGCATTCCCATTTTGCAACGGAGTGACGTTTTTTTCTGCCCTGTTCGCTCCTATTTCGTGTGTGCGTTTGTTCAACACAGAGCTCCTGCTGGGTATTCAAGCAAATTTTATTGGATCGGAAGAGATTGAAACAATGGTGACGAGAAACCATCCTGGGGATGTGATGCCTGCGAACTTTATTTCGGCTAATCCTCGATCGGAGTCGAGTTCCTCTATTCGTGATTTCGAAATCATGAGTTTCCCTCGTTTTCTCTAGGGTATATTAGACTTCAGTGCGCCGGGGTGTTCTTCTTGAAGAAAAGGTAAGAGAAAAAAGATTTCTAATAGAACTCCGATTATGCGTGTTGATAGTTTGATCTTAACTCGAGACGCCTGATTTCCGCTGTTCAGCTGCCAGAGAATGTGGGTGGAGTAAACATTTTCTGCACAAAAAATTCACTCAGTAAATGTATTTGGGCCTCTTTGTCAATTCTTTCACACAATTCATTATCTTGGCTAATGTACTTGAAGATTTGCGGGAATATTTGTAATGCGTATTTCGTGGTCATTCATGCATTTTTTTGTTAGTCCAATACCAAGTCAAATAATCATTAACCCGGATAATCGTAGCATCACTGTGTTTCGTAACTTATTTCATGATGATTTTTCATCCTTCCGTAAGATGAGCGGAAACAAGCTGAGGTTGGCTCTGGTTCAAATGGCTGTCGGCATGGACAAGTCCAAGAATATCGCAAATGCCGTGAACTGGATTCGGAAGGCAGCTGTCGAAGGCGGAGCAAACGTCGTTGCCCTTCCTGAGGCTTTCAATTCTCCGTATGGAAACGAATATTTCGCGGAATACGCCGAAGTGATCCCTGATGGACCAACAACGAAGTGAGACCGAAATTCGTTTTTGACATCCCGTGTGCGAATCACGACCGTATTTACGCGAATGTAAGCACCCGTTTTTTTCCAAATTTTGAAGCTCAAAAACTCGGGGGGAGGGGGTGATAATGCTGTATTTGCGTATTGATACGATTCGCGTGAATGTAAGTCTTCATTAGCAAATCTTACTGTTCGCGGTCTACAAACCGAATGAGCACTTATGTTCTTAAGTTCTTTTGAAATTTAAGTTGAAAATAATCGATGAACGGTCAGCTTTTAGCACTTCAAGATGCATGAGTCATTGACGAAAGAGCAAGGGTTGTTTAACACGATTTTTCCCTTTCTGAGGAAAGCCTAAATTCAGTCGAAAATTTTAGGTTCTTGGGAAGTCAAAATACCATAAAAGTACGTGGGTACTTATAACTTCCTATTCGTGGAGTTTCAAATTTTGCATCAAATATCTAAGGGGATGCTTATATTCGCGTAAATATGGTAATTGAATGTGCAGTAGTTGATTGTACGAAGTCATCCAAATGTGTATGCAACGTCGTATACTGCTTCAAGTAGACAATTACGAACACTTCTATTATTTATCGCTTGTCTTCTAATTCATCTCGCCGTTTGCCTCGAGATACTATATAATTAAGTTGTTGTTGACTTTTATTGTTTGCTTGAAGAGCCCTCAGTGATATTTCAAAAGAACTGAAGATTCATGTGATCGGGGGTTCGTACCCTGAAAAGCGGGGCGATAAGCTGTTCAACACTTGCACTGTGCACGGGCCCACAGGCGACCTGCTCACCAAGTATAGCAAAGTGGGTAATGGGTTTTTGATATTTGTTATCCTTGACAAGTGGTTCTTAACCTTATTGACTCGCTGATCCTTGTTTGGGTTCAACGTACTGTGCAGTATTTACTCGCGTATCACGCGAACCTTTTTCTCAAAATTGAAAGGAAAAATGGGGTTGCGCGTCATAGGCGGGTATTAATTTTTAAGAAGTTTTAGAAGTTCAGGTGTGCATTACACTTGATGTTGATGGGAAATTTTTGACAAATTTTAGCAGAAAAACTTGATGTAATGGAAATTATTCAAAATTAGTTGTATTCAAGATACAATTCGTATCGCAATTCAAATTTGGGCGTTCTTATTTTTGAAAATTGCAGTTTTAGTCGCCAAAAATGGGAATGAGCGTCTTACGTGAGAGCGTGGTACTCGAGTAAGTACAGTATACGGTAACGTGGTTGTACTTGCCTATTTATTTGTTGGCCTTACTTTTCGTGTCTTTCAAACCTCCCTTCATTTGCTTAGAAGAATCTTTTTTACTTACGCAGTTATGGATTTGTTTTCAATGTCATTCTAATCTTTTTCGGGTTTTGCTGTATCTGCCGCGGAGCATCTCGTGACTCCCGGGCTTCGGTTGAGAATCTTTGGTTCATAGCCAATGATTCTGATGCTGCATTGATACTGTATAAATATTGTCGAAGGTTTATCAGAGACCTATTCCATAATATTTCATTCGATTTCGTGGGATTCTCATTTCTATGTTGGAAAAATTTCAATCCGGACGATTCAAAACAAGGAAGCTGCCCTCTTTGTTTTTCTGCCGTTCAGGTGCACCTGTTTGACATTGACATCCCTGGGAAAATTACGTTCAAAGAATCCGACTCGTTGACGAGTGGTAATTGTCCTGCTGCATTCCGACTGGGCCAGTCGGACTGGCGAGTTGGACTGGGTATTTGCTACGATATGCGCTTTCCCGATTTTGCCGTCAACTACGCCAATCAGGGTGAGTGAACCGAGTAATTGGACGCTCTATAGGCACGTAGTAGGCCGTGGATATATGGAACGAGGCATTTGTTATTCGAGTGAAGTTGTATTACTGCACATGGTGTCCACAAATTTACCATGGGATGGGAAAGTCCGTGTTTTCCGTGTTCGTATTCTGTTGTGAAACAGAAAGAGAAGTGAATCTAGATAGCTGCTGGTGAGACTAGTGGAGAATTGTGAGCAAGAGGCGAATGAGAATACAGTACGTCCAGATTTCTTTCCTGTATCACGTAAAAAAAATTCTTCAAGAACCTCATCTAATCGATGTTTGGACCTTGTCCCGTAGTTTGAGCGTCCATATGTTGGATTGCATCTTCGCATAAATTCAATGGGGACATAATTATTTGGGGTTTTTTTTCATTAAAAAATATGATGAAGGTTCCCAAAAGTTTGTACAAAATTTGTTCTGAACTTCAGTATGCACGAAGAACTGTATCTTGATCAAAACACACAGAATCTGATATTTGGTATCAGAAGGAGCTCAAAAGAAGCCAAGAACAGGAGCAAGTCCAGCTATATTGTGCACACGTAGTGGAAGATCTGAAAAAACGAGGCAAAAAATAACATGTTTTCTATTCTGAATAAAGTACAGTAATTTATGATGAATTTTATTCGGAATTTTTAAATATATAAATAGCTAAATTTGTTCTCGAATTATAAGAATTCAGAAAAATAAATTCATTAACTTTCTTTACAAATTTTGAATATTAACCCATTAACTGCCAAATTTCCTGCATGCCCATTTTTGTGCCATTTCACTTCATTTACATGTAGATAGGCTGGGGAAATTTTTTTCCGATTTTTAAATTCGAAATTTTGTCAAATATTTGAATTTATGGGCCTCACGGCAGGTCCCATCTCCTTTTTTACTAATGAAAAAACTTATAAATTGAAAAAAAAATGTTTGAATTTTTGGCTACATTTTATCATTTAAAGCTAAATGTGAGTGCAAACATATCTTCTGATCCATTTGAGATACAAGAATGCCATTAGGAATGAAATGCATAAATATTTTTCATGATTTTCAAAATACTGTATTTCTAAATTTATTTTTTTGAAAAAGCTACAAAATTCTATGAACAGCATCCAGGCTGTGAACCAAGTAATTTGCTAGCATTTTTCAACTGTAAGATGGAGTTTGAAATCTTATGGGATCTTCAAAGAATTTTATCACAAAAATTATATTTAATACAATTACAGAACAAATTGATTTAAAATCAAATAACTTTTGTTTAACATGTTTTTATCATCACTTCTGTGTGCTCAACCCAGCAGCCTGGTTTATCCAAGATATGGAACTTTTTGAACACATTTTCAAGAAAATTTGAAAAATATTTTTTTACACCCCAACTGCTTGGGGTTTTAATTTGGGGATCAAGGTTCTGAAACTTGTTGTAATTGATAAAAATTAAAGAAAATTAAATAAAATACGCCAAAGCATTGAGAAATAACCAGGCTACAAGGACATATAAAATTTTGAATTTATCTGCACTAGAAAGTACTTTTCTTGCATTCCAAAAATCATGTTTTAACTTTCCAACAGAATTTGAAAGTTGGCTTCAGAAAAAATATTGCTGTAAATTCAAAAATAAACAAAAAGAGGCAAATGAGGTCTTGAATTGTAGATAACTTCATTGTGGAGGCTTTACATATTTTTACATACTTTTTGCTTGGGTGGTATTTTTTTGGGGGGCCAAAAACCTCGTGAGTCCCAAATGGGGCTCAAGGCAGGTAATGGGTTAATGCGTATCTTGATATATTGTCCGGATGTCAGGGCATATGTTGTTTATTTATAAGCGTCTCGAAGTCAAATCGTCCGGATGTTGCGGTCCCACTACACAATAACGTGTACAGTTTAACTTTTAGTTGAATTGAAATTCAAAGTTTTCTACGAGTGGCATCTATCCGCTCAGACCTTATGCGTTACGAAGAAAATTGATTGTCGCATTTGTTATTCAAGTGCAGTATTTGAATTTTTGCTAAAAATTGAAATTTTGATCTCACTGTATATTCAAAACATCTTGTGAGTACTCATTTCTCCTTGACGCTATCTCATGGTGTAGGATTGTTATCATGACTATAAATTTCTCTACGATTACCGTATCGCTAAAATTCTTATGGGGACAACACAATCTTGTTGACATTGGGTTTCCAGCATGATGTTCAGAAAAGCTAATCTTGCTAATTTCGTTGCTGTGTTCAATTCAAGATATTGTTTTGAAAAATTCTATACCTGATGATTCCAAATTAATTGCCGGAAGTTATGGCGATACATACATTTAAAAAACTGGATTTCGTAAATCAATTACGAAGTGGTCAAACACGGGAGAAGTTCTGTTGCTTGAATGAACCGATTTCCAGATATTTTCATACCCAGGTTGCCAGTTGCTGATTTATCCTGGAGCTTTCAACTTGACTACTGGACCAGCGCATTGGGAGCTGCTGTGTCGTGCGAGAGCTGTGGATAATCAGCTATTTGTGTGTGCAGTCTCACCAGCTACGAATGAAGAAGCCAATTACAAAGCTTGGGGCCATTCTTCGATCGTTGATCCTTGGGGCAACGTGTTGGCAAAAGCAGGACATGGGGAAGAGCTTCTTTTAGTTGATCTTGGTAATGCTCTGTTATTTTACACGAAAGAAAACATTACAGTTCTGTAATTATCTGGTACAAAGGGGTCGAACAAAATTTCTCGTGGTAGAAACTGAGACGGCGTATGATTGAGTTGAAAAACAATTATTGTTCAGAAAAGAATTCCTTGGCGAACGCAATATTTCGACATATTTTTTGGAATTCCACATTTTTTTCTTAGATGGGTGGCTCATCTTTCGACTGGAGAAGAGAAAGCTGTTGGGGTGACTTTTTCAACAACAAAAGTTGATGAACAAGTCTGAACTTTTTTCTTGTGCCAAAGAATCTTTTTTTCTGAGCAATAATTTTTTTCCGACTCAATCGTGTGCCGTTTCAATTTATATTCCGAGAACATTGTTGGACCCCTCGTATTTGCAGTCACTATTACAGAAATCCATTTTTTCCCAAGAAAGTGGAATTTGATGGTTTTATTGTCTTCATTTTGTGAAGTTGCTTTTGTATTCGTTGCTCGTCTTACATTTTTATTTTCTGGAATTACTTTTGCGATCGTCTTCATAGTTTTTCAAGGAATTTTCCTGCTGAATCGATGAATTTAACTCTTCTTTCATTTTTATTTTGTGCGGTGCATTCAATAGGGAATTCATTTCATTTTTGTTACGATTAGGTGTCATCAGTATGAATTCCCCTTGGAATGCGAAGTAAATCAGGCTCGTAATTTCCGTTGAGTCAAGTTTTAGCATCTTGAATTAATGGTCCTTTCAATTAGGAATGATGCGCTCGAATAATTACTATTCCTATGTCAGCTTGCTTATTGTGCCTTTGTTTTCTGTGACAATCCGCAGACCTCGCGCAAGTGGAAGAGATCCGCTCCCGCATCCCAATAAGAAAGCAACGAAAGCCCGACATCTACAAAATGAGTGCAAATCTGTAAGAGTTCGTGTGAAATCTGCGTTCCATGATGAGAAAACGTCTTGTTTTTCGAATGATTCGTCTATTTGATGATTTCGTTGTCTCGAAACTTGCGTGCTCGAGATATCTTGACCTTAACATTTGGTGATAGCATGTACACTAATAATTCGAGGCAAAAGGGCTTTTTAGTGAAAATAAATGCTGTGTTTCACTTGTGGATTGAATAAAGACTGGATTTTAGCATTTTCTGGGTACCCTTTTCACCTTTATTCGACCCGGAAGATTTTTGACCGCGTGTATTCTCATCAGCGAAAGCATTGATCGACGCTGATGGATTTATGTGATTCGAGTCCTTCAATACCTTTCTTTCATACGTTTTTCTCAGTTACAGGTGCCGAAATAGACAGCGACGCATGTTACACTTCGTCGGAATGAGAACTTAATGAACATTTTTCAAGTTTCGGGGTTGAAAGGGGTAAGCAACCAGTTTTTTTTAATTCAAATTAATTTGCAATACTGTCCATGTTATCTCCATGTCAGCCGATTTCCAAAACTTATTTCTGGATCCGACGCCTTTGGCTTCTCACATGAATTAAAATATTGCGTTGGGAAATGAACACTTTCCAAAGCTGATATTATTAGAAACATGACGAAATAGCAGCTGATGAAACATGAACTTTCTCTCAGAATATTGCATGATGATGAGCAAGTTTGTCTACAAATTTTGTCCAGATTTAACCTTCTATCTGATTTGGAGAATACACCTTTGTATGAATAATGTTTCATCACCTTCTGACCACTGTTCCAAATTTTTAGACTCAACATTGAAAAGGTATACAGTACTGTATACATAAACAGTACATTATGTACTGCTGTACCTTGACTTTCTGACTTGGTGCAGTTCTCCGGAAGGTTCTTGGTATATATGTGCTGCTGAATAATGATACGAGAGCCCAACCATGATTTTTTTGGAAGAAATCTTTTTATTTTAAGCTCAGCAGCAATTAGTGAATAGGTTTGAAGAGGTAAAAGTGAAACTTCTGTATCAACCCTCCTTGCGTACGCATTTCAATGACCTTTTATGATCATTTCTTTCCATGCACGATATCAAACGATAGCAGCGAAAGTCAACATGGCCTGTTTGTAGATTAGATATGATTATTTTGATTCTTATACGGAATTTGGTGCTCAATCCTGATTATTTCTTACAAGTCTAGACCCATTGACTGCTTTTTTTCTTGTTCCATTTCTGCAAATTATCTTCTTTAAGCGTGCTATTTTGCGGGTCATTCAGCAACTAATTATTCCTGATGTAATTTTTTTAAAGACGGATCTTCTCAGAAGTTCGAAATGGTGTCGAGAGAAGTCAAGGCCTTGATAGTGACTGGAGTAGGTGCCGTGGTTACTGTTGTCGCGGCAGTGCTCGGTTTTTATGGATTTCCAAAAATTGTTCGCGGAGAACTGGAAAAGGTAAAGGAAAACTCGTCAGTTGTGGAGAAATTATACAATCAAGTGTAATACGCTATATACAACCGGGGGTGACTGTTGTTCCCTATACTGTACTATCTTTTTTACAACAATATCGTATACAACATTAATTTTCCACGATAAAAAGTTTTGTTTTGCCCGTGTATGGGTCTCTTTATTCCCATGTTATATATAGGGATTGCATACAACGAAATCCTCTCCACAACGATATTTTTCTGGTCCCTTAAAGTTCGTTTGGAGAGTCCAGCTGTACACATTTTGTTTCTGCATAAAAGTAAGCGACGTAATGCATAACAAATACAGTGCATGAATTCAGACATTTTCATGATCGAGTCCATCTACCTGACGTGGAATTGCAGGGATCAATAATCAATGTAACTGGGCATTGCATAGAAAGTTTAACTGTGATGTATAACAGCAGTACTTGAAGTATCTTGATTTAACATAGATTTATCGAATTTTTATCAAATATTGTACTACAGTATTTGTTTCTCCTCAGGAAAAGAGGTCAATCATCGCCGAAATCCCCTCCGTATTTATAAGTGCTTTTTGATCGTTTTTATATATCTTACATGTATATATACATACATGTAAAAATACCAAAGATATCATGCGCAGTACTGCTGCTGTGTTTATGGCTTTTTGTCAGCTTATTGTAACAATATGTAGGTCCAAAGTTTTTTTCTGGGAATTCAATTACCGCTCGTACATTATAGTATACTTATTCTGCACTAATTCAGGATTTGGATATGAAGTGAGTGAATTGTTCAACTGTTCTCATGCATTCGCCGTATTATTTTGATTATACCAGCATATTATTCTCTGACTTAGAATAATTAAAAGTCGCGAAGCACCATAAATGAGAACATTATTTTGTTTTATTTATACGTGAATGTGCTGCAGCTGAGTTACTTTGTGTTCATATGCGATTAACCAATTGACCAAGGGGTATAATGTTGCTCTCTATAACAGGTACATTATTTAAGTGAGTAAATACACAAGGTCAGTTCTGTATATATGTGTCTGCTGGTTGCTCAAGGCATCGAGCTAGATAAGTGCCATTTAATAATTAAGGCACGTAAAATTTCCAGCATGTGACAGTTACCCATGTAAAATTTCCAGCATGTGACAGTTACCCATACTGTACTCATAGATGAGGATGTGCCAAAATTCGGTGTAGAGAAATCCCAATTTTTTTGCTCATGGAAATACTGTATAGGCCAAGCTAAAATAAGTTACGATTTATCAGACCAATTGTAAACCCATGGTACCAAACTTGATCAGGCTGATGAGCTATTCCATTGAAAATAAATTGCAAAATGTAATAGTTAGTTTGAAGTTTTTATAGACAGCAGAGCTGTTCAAAATGTTCACTCAATTCTAATAGTTGTGTTTGCAGAAAAGCTATAGTCACTCTGCATGAAACCAAATTAACGTTATGTTTAAATAAAGGCCATTTTTTCAACAGGAAAAAATCCAATTGTTCTTTAGACTATGCGGTACAAAAATAGTTCAGATGCTTCGCTGAGCTTTCTGTTTGCAAGCAATAAAAATCACAAGAAACCCACAAATTTTATTTTTAGGAATAAATATGGACTGACAATGAGCATACAAATTCACCTTGCAATTTGACCTCCTGCAATTCATCCATCCTGCAATTTGATGGTCAAATGTGCAGGGAGGTTGACTTGCAATTTGATCTCAGCCCAGGAATTTGACCTGCTTTGGTCACTTTTGTTGCATTTTTTGCTTATATATCTCAATTTTACAAAGTGTCTTGCAATTTGACCCTTTGAAATTTGACCCCAGTTTTGGTAATGCATTAGGGTTGAAGTGCAAGGTACCACCTTGATACATATGATCAGAACTTTAAAATACTGCATTATGCACAGCAGGGTGGGCCACAATTCAATTTCCTGTTCAATTTACTTTCAAAGGTATGCATTTTTTTGGTCCTAAGTGCCACAGCATGTTTACAAGAATTATTTGAATGAAAATGTAAAAGAAGTGGTCGGACGACTCCTTCCAGCACTATCCATGAGCCATGTCTGACACCTATAGTAAGATAATACTTGCAGCATGGCCCACTGCTAATTTTTTTTCCCTTCTCACCCCCACCTCCTAAATTGTTTGGATGTGTGCACCCTCTTAAAGGCAGCATGAAGTTTGTTGGTTAAATAAATACGCTCTACTCTTCATTTATCACTATACTGTACACAGCTTGCTGGAGAACAGCGGCTTAGTGGAAGGAGTTGTCTGATACATTTTTGTGTGAAGTTTTCTTTTTAATGATATTTTGACCATGCTGTGGCACTTGGGGTCATAAAACTGCATACCATTTGAAAGGAAATTGAACAAGCTTTCATTTAGCATTTTTTTCATCACCACACCACAATTTGCTACTGTGCTATTTCAAGTTGAAAAAATCGGTTCACTTTTTTTGCTCTACCTTGTACATTTCCATAGTTGACGAAAAGCCTGCAACATAATTGTCAAAACTGGTCAGAATTTAAATACTGAACGGGATTCCTCGGTTTTAATCATATACAGGAGCTACTGCAATTTGATGGTCAAATGTGCAGGGAGGTTGACTTGCAATTTGATCTCAGCCCAGGAATTTGACCTGCTTTGGTCACTTTTGTTGCATTTTTTGCTTATATATCTCAATTTTACAAAGTGTCTTTCCATTTTGACCCTTTGAAATTTGACCCGAGTTTTGGTAATGCATTAGGGTTGAAGTGCAAGGTACCACCTTGATACATATGATCAGAACTTTAAAATACTGCATTATGCACAGCAGGGTGGGCCAAAATTCAATTTCCTGTTCAATTTACTTTCAAAGGTATGCATTTTTTTGGTCCTAAGTGCCACAGCATGTTTACAAGAATTATTTGAATGAAAATGTAAAAGAAGTGGTTGGACAACTCCTTCCAGCACTATCCATGAGCCATGTCTGACACCTATAGTAAAATAATACTTGCAGCATGGCCCACTGCTAATTTTTTTCCCTTCTCACCCCCACCTCCTAAATTTTTTGGATGTGTGCACCCTCTTAAAGGCAGCATGAAGTTTGATGGTTAAATAAATACGCTATACACCTCATTTATCACTATACTGTACACAGCTTGCTGGAGAACAGCAGCTTAGTGGAAGGAGTTGTCTGACAACTTTTTGTGTGTTAAGCTTTCTTTCAAATGGTATTTTGACCATGCTGTGGCACTTGTGATCATACAACTGCATGCCATTGGAAAGGAAATTGAACAAGCTCTCATTTAGCATTTTTTTCATCACCACACCTCAATTTGCTACTGCGCTATTTTGAGTTGAAAAAATTGGTTCACTTTTTTTGCTCTACCTTGTACATTTCCATAGTTGACGAAAAGCCTGCAACATAATTGTCAAAACTGGTCAGAATTTAAATACTGAACGGGATTCCTCGGTTTTAATCATATACAGGAGCTGAGATTGGACAATCAAGGATCAGAGGGTTACAAAAACTTTCAAGAGACACCGATCGAAATCCTCATGAAGTTCTTCTTGTTCAACATCACAAATTGGGATGATGCAGAAGCGGATGGTAAAAATTGGAAGCCTACGGTTGAGCAGCTCGGCCCCTACACTTACGTGTGAGAAGAAACTCATTAATTCATCATATCCAACCGGATTCTTTTTATTATTATAAATAGTGTATAGAGGAATGAAATGATTGAACAGGGAAAAGCGGTACAAGGAAAACATCACCTTTATTAACGACAACAATGAGGTGGAATTCTATCAAATGAGGGTTTTCAGCTTTGACCAAGAAAGAAGTGGCCCCGGAGTGACTGAGGATGACGAATTGATGATCATCAATGCTCCAGTATTGGTAAGCGTGGAAGAGTCATGTTAAGCATTCCCTCTACTATACGAAGGGGTTACTTCGAGTTATGTTAGTTCAATCGAGTCTTGGATTTTTTATTTCAAAGCGTCATCACTTACGCTGTTATACTGTACTGTATACTGTAATCCATGTACAGCTGTGATCCATATTGCTTATTTTTCTTCACATAAGAGGTTGCTGATGTTATCCTACAAAATACTTGACACTTTCTTTTGAGTTTCTTTTACAGTTATCTCCCACTTGAAAATAGAAGATCATGGGAACAAGACTTTCCCATGCGTATATTTTCTCCTTATTTTGGTTTGACAACTTTTGAGCTATTTTATATGCATGACCCATTTCTCCTGCAACTGCACATTACAGTTTCTCTTCCTTTTGACAGGTACAAGTGGTAATGACTGTTCCCCAAATTAGGTTTCTCCTGCTTCAATTATATTTTGCACTAGTTCCTGAGACTCACATCCTGACCCCAAGACCTGGATATGCATCCCTGACTCTGGAATTATGTCATGATCCCAATGTCCAAAAGCCTATATATATTTATGTTTCTACAATAATTCCTCAGAAGAATCTTGCTAGAGAATCAGACCTGAGACTCCTGAAATTGTTCTCAAGGAGACTTGCAATATTTTAGCAAGACTTCTTTAACTTAATTGTCTTGACTCTGTTGTGTGTTTGGAATACGTGTGTGATTCATGGTATCAAGGAATATATCATATACTTATATTTTGTATTTATCAATTGTTCAATTTATTTATTGATGCAACCAAAATATATTTCTATACAACGAGTCAAGATAACTCTGGCATTACCTGAAAACATTCACAATAACTTTAGCACAATTTCGCCATTTGAAATGTTCATAAAGACGTTTGAGGTTTTCTGTGCTGAACATTTTCCCGTTTTTGTTGCAGGGTGTTCTGGAAGTGGCTATTCCCGTTTTGGACGACAGTTATTTAGCAAGTATAGCCTCTATGATGAAAGACGAAGAAAATGCAGCTTTCCTTCGGGTCAAGGCCAAAGAGATAATTTTCTCGGGGACCGAAACAAAATTCCTCACGAAACTGATAAATTTCCTGGGCACTTCTTTGGGAGAAACTTTGTCAGAAATGCTGCCACCTTTGCCAACAGATGTCCTCGTGCCATTGGGTCCTCGGACAACAGGATTTGCTTACTATCCAGTTAGTAATTTCTCGATTTCTTTTTTACAAACGAAACAGTTTGTAATGCCTCACAATTTCACGTTTTCGAAAAAAATACAGTAAAATATTTTTTACCAGAAAAACGCCACAGCAGAGGGGCCCTTCACAGTTTACACTGGCAAGGACGGCTTCGACAAGTACCAAGACTTCAAGACATTCATGAACCAAACTCACCTGCAGTACTGGAACGATAAAAACGGTACTAGACCGGAAGACAGCTGTAATTTCGTTCGAGGCACTGATGGAACAGTTTTCAAGCCATACATGACGAAGTCTAGTCGCCCATACATTTACGACACCAGCGCTTGCAGGTATATGTACGAGGGTTAATGGGCTCATAAGTTTTAATACTTCTTGTTTTTTTTGGATCCAAGGGAGTTCCAACGATTCCAAAAATTTTTATACTCTGTTTATGCGAGCAAAAAGTTTAGCAATTCGAATAATTGTTACTCTGTACGAGTCAAATTTGTGTGTGTGTGGAATAGTCGTAACTCCGTTGGATCTATATACTTCAAAATGTCTCAAAACTTTTGAACCATCCCTTGTGAATGCGTAAAACGTCATCGAAATATTCCCAGTGTTCTTAAACATGATGATGTACAGCATCTGCATATTCTTGGCAGACCTTTGTTCCTGGAGTATGAAAAGGAAGTGTCGTTTCGTGGCATTGATGGATACAGGTATATTTTGGCAACTAGTCAATTTGAGAGCTATGAAACGAATCCAGACAATCTTTGCTTGTGCATACCGGATGAATCTGGTTGTATGGACTATGGGCTTTACAATCTGATATCTTGCATGCGTGAGTGTAAATCTAAGTCTTCTATGCTCGAAATTTATTTTATATACAGGGATTGAAAGGAATTGTGTGTGATTTTTTCGCAGATATCCCGGTGTATTTATCCATGCCGCATTTTTTGAACGGAGCTGACAAGTACTTCAATGCCATTGACGGACTTGAACGTGATCCGGAATCGCATACTACTTTCATTGAAGTTGAACCCGTAAGCGTGAACATTTCCCAAATTTTCAAAGTTTAAAACAGTGTAATTTCTCGGTTTTGTTGTACGTAGTTTTCTGGGATTCCACTGCGAGCAGCTAAAAGGATGCAAATGAGTTTCAAAGTCAACAGCTACAATCAGAGCAGCAGATTCCCGGAAATTCTAAAACATCTCCCTGACAACGTCATATTGCCAATAGTTTGGATTGAACAGGTCTGTTGAGTGTTTACAGCAGAGATTTGAAAGAAAAGAAAATAAACGGAACATTTTCGTTTGTGTCTCGTGTAGTCCGGAGAATTGAGCAAAGAACTGGCTGATGAATACCAATCCAGGATCGGAACCCCTCTGGAAATACTGGGCATCGTCAAGTGGGTTCTCTTGGGCATTGGAATTCTGGTCATCTTGGTCGGGACTGCACTTTATATTAATGCCTGGAGGAGAAGAAGAACAACGACTGTCTGAACAAGATTGTGATTTAACAAAAGATTTTGTGCTCAGATATTCCGATTTTTATTTTATTTATAGTTTTGGATTCTGTATCAGTGATGCATCAGGTTATTTTACTGGAAATTTACTTTTGTCCTGTTGAATTTAATTTATGCAAAAGGTCTAACAAGTATTTCCAGGATATAAATTGTAAGGACGTACCATTGAGCTGAAAAGCAATAATTTTTGTATTGGTTGTCATCTAATATTGTATAGTTTGAGTGTGTCCCAAAACACATCAAGTATACCCAGTTCACATGTATGAGTTTCCCAACATACTTGCAAAACTCTGTGCAGCAACCAAGTTGCCTGACACATACCATGTCATCACAATGTCTGATCTCTGGTTGTTTACATTTTAGACAGTCTGGTTCCAATTCTGCTCATGCATTGTCATGTACCTTTCTTGTGCTTGTCTTGAATGTATAAAAAAGTGTCCAAACACTCTTATTACTTTCTCATTGTTGGTCTGGACTTCATGTTGCACATGTTCTGGGAAATAAAAATATTCTGCTTATAAAAGAGAAGTATTATTCACTTAGACAAACAGCCCCGGCCATGAGAACTAACTCTGCTTGTTAAAGTTTATCCTAGTGTAAGAAACTAATAGTGAATTAAACTTATTGAAAAATAAGGAGATGTCTGACGTAAAATAGAACTCATTTCACATACACCTGCAACGATATAGGATAACATGGTGTACACCAGCTTTACCTTCAGAATTGTTGAAAGTGACATATATGGGATTAATTCCACAGGTTACTACCATTAATTAAGTAATAATTCCGCTATTTTCATTGGCAGCCAGTCAGCCACCTTCACAACCATCACTGGGATGAGAATGCGGCAGCTGTTGATGAAAATGGCATGGAAGACCTGTTGGCAACCCTTTGGGAATTCATGCCATGTCAATTTCAACAATTATGAAGGATAGGCTGGGCTACACAAAACATCTGCACGATGGGAGCCACAGTTTTTTGGTGAAGAGTGGAAAACTGCCAAGGAATATTTTGAAAAATATCCAAAAGATAAATCAAACAGGGCTGACACTTTTTATTGGGCTAGAGGATGTTTTTTTCTGAAGAATAATTGTTTTTTGCTTGACTACTGCTAGTTTCAATTTCTATACCCTGAGAAATTTTGTTAGACCGCCTGTGTATCATTGATTTGCAAGTATATAGGTTTCAATATATGCAAATGAACCTTGATAAGTGGAGCCTCTCTATAATAAATCAAATTGAATTAAAGTCCCCATCTGACTTATTACATTAGAAACAATGCATTAAACATCTCTAACTAAAGGCTTTCCCTTTTGAACCTCCCTAACCCATTTTTTTTGCATTTTGGCTAATAATTTTTCAAGACAGGAAAGAGAAAAGCAAGAAAAAATTAACTTGATGTGTTTTGAAAGGTAGTGATATACTGTATATACATGAAAATGAAGAACTGCTGGCTTGCAGTCCTCAATTCTCACTTTTTTCAAAAACTTGTGAAGTTGTGGTATGAAGTGAATGACTTGAGGGGAAACCAGGAAAACAGTGGATAATTTAATTCCTCAACAGCAGCATGAAATAGTTTCAAAGTAAAAGTTGCTAAAATAGGGGTCTTCAATATGCCCCTTCTTGTGCAGTCTGTTATTGAAGCTCTGGGGAGCTCCGCAAAATTCGCACCAATTCTTTCCCTTTTTTTTCTAGCTCTGAGGCGCGGGTATATATATAAAAAAAATCAAGAACAGGAACAAGAATTTTGCCACACGCAAGCGCCGCATTTTCCCTCAGCCTCTCAGGTTTGGAAAATTTTTGCTACCAAAGGAAAATTGCTCAGGAAGTCTCTGCATTGTCCCCTCAGCAGTATCCCTTCCTGTTCTCCTTGGCAAAAAACCTGCTGCAAAAGTAGAAAGCAAGAAAAAGAAAGCACACAAACACAAACCTGGGGACACAAAATCGAAACTCAATATTCCTCCAGGAATATATATTGGGCAAGAAAACCCTTGTTTCCAAGTTCAGCATATCCTGTCAACTCATTTAAGAAGCCATATATATATATATTAAGAAGCCATTTGAGGCCAAAAGTATTACCATTCAAGATTTCTTGCAACTTTTCCATCTCTCCCCCAACCAAAGCATTTTGTGCCCTGACTTATAACCTCCGCAACTCAAAACTTTTTGCTGGTCCCCTGAACGAAATTCGAATTATATTTAGAGAGCTTTCGCCTGCAAAAAAAGATAGTAGCACTGTATTCTTAAAATAACGCCAGCTGGAAGTTCAATGCTATTTTGGTGTGGTTTCTAACATGAGTAATTCATCCTCACTATATGTAGTCGATTTCCCTTTCTTTTACGCCTCATGATGTTCGCAAGTTTCGGGCATATTCTAAAAACAGCTCGACATTGACGACCATAAACGAATGTTTTGATGATAAGACTTATCTACAGCCTCGCACCATCACCTCATCAGCACGCATTCGGCGTCTGAATGATAAGCAGCCCAGCAAAGAATTGAATTGTTCAATTCGAATATTTCCTTCACAATCACTCACGGCGACTCTTTTAAGTGCGTTTTCGAGATGCACAAGTCATCACTCGATTCCGCGGCGAGGACCTTATTGGGATATGTGATGCCTATGTACACAGTATATGTCGTGATTTTGAACTTATTTCAAACAGAAAGAGTTTCTTATTCTTGTGAACAGTCCGTGACGATACTTCAGATTTTCCTCCATGAAATATTTCCAAGATTAAATACAATTCCCTTTCATACCCACTCTATCTTCCATCGGAATGCTCAGCAGCCATCATTTCGATAATCTGAATAATGATGCTTTCTGCTTATGCCTTTCTCTCCACTCGAATATTTTTTTCTATTTCAGACAATTCAGGCAACAACAAAACAGCAATGGTTTCTCGGGAAGCCAAGGGTGGGATTGTGGGTGGTGTTGGAGCAGTGATAACAATTATTGCTGCGATTTTTGCATTCTACGGCTTTGATAATATCGTAAAGGGACAACTCGAAAATGTGAGCTGACCATCATAATATCGATGAAAACCAAATGCAAAAAGGCGACCAATATCCACAATGCGTTAAAAATATTCTTGCATTCATATTGTTCAATTGAGAAAACATTCAAAATAAACAAAATGAATCTCGAGCATTTATCTGAATTATTATGATGCAGTATATCAATATCAGCAATTTCTGTTACTCCGTATATAAAAGAGAATGAACGCGATAAAAATCATTTTGCTCGACGTTTTGAAAGACAATTTTGATCATGATAAATTTTAAAAGCTTAATTTTGCTAATAATAACCTTTTCACCGAAGGAAAGATTCAAATCTTTCTTCTTCAACAAGTCAATGCCTTCTTTATCATGCCTAATATTTTCCGAATAAACGATTTAAATATTTCTTTTTCCACGACTCAATTCCTTCTGTATATAACTATTTATAGTCCGAATCAAAAATTCAATTTTTGTTCTTTCTAAAAATAAACAGACGCTGAGGTTAGACAAGAAGGACGAAGGCTATAAGAACTTCAAAGAGACTCCAATCGACGTCGTGATGAAATTCTTCGCATTTAACATTACCAACTGGGAAGATTTATTCTTTCTAAAAATAAACAGACGCTGAGGTTAGACAAGAAGGACGAAGGCTATAAGAACTTCAAAGAGACTCCAATCGACGTCGTGATGAAATTCTTCGCATTTAACATTACCAACTGGGAAGATTTGGACACGATGGGTCAAAAATGGAGACCAAACCTTCAGGAAGTGGGTCCTTATGCTTACGTGTGAGTATACAGCATAAAAATCCTCGTGAAATACTTGTTTGAATTTGAAATTGGCGCATGTTTAATAATAATAAAAACAATTATGAAAACAGTGAAAAACGGGTCAAGGGGGACATCAAGTTTCTGAGCAACGACGAAAAAGTGGAATTCACGCAAGGGAAAACATTCTTCTTCGATGCTAGTCAAAGTGGACCAGGGCTGACAGAAGACGATGAGATTTATCTCATCAACGCGCCAATTCTGGTAAAAAAAAAGGAACCCAACTCTCTATTAAATGCAATTTTTTTCTTTTTTACGACTTGAAAACGTGTCAAATTCGTTTACTTTCATGCAGGGCGTACTCGATCTGATTTTACCCATTCTGCCTCCAACTTTCTTACCAACTATTGCTTCGTTGATGAACAATGAACCCGTGAATGCTGCTTTCATGAAAGGCAGCATCAAAGACATCTTGTTTTCCGGAGCTGAGTCAAACTTTTTGGGGGGCTTGGTAACGGTTTTGGAAAATTTCGGAAGTCTCATAGAAGGCATTCCGGAGTTACCGCCAAATATCATCCCTATTCCGAACAACAAGACTGGCTTCGCCTTGTATCCGGTGAGCACATCATGTACAAGCGAATTTGGCATTTAATTCTTGACTTTTATTTCAATTAGTCACAACATGAATAGTTTTTTCTTTCTTTCGAAACATGCTGTCAAAATGCTGTCCCCATTACGGTAACATATTATATAATCATCAGTCATATAATCCCTTGTGAGTTGTCACTGGGCCTTATATGAGTGATATTTCCACCTAAATTTATCAAGCTTTTAGTGAATTACGCTACATAACCTAAAAGTAATTGTGATTTTTTTTTCATGATTTACCAAAACTTTTTTGGCATGAATCTGGACTGTGTAGTCATATTAACGACCACAATACCCTTCACTTTACGCATGACCCTTTTAAGCTAATGTATTTCCGCTATGCTTGGCTGCGCCTGGTGAGCTAGCAATTATATTTCACAATCCCGTTGTTGACAGAATACTTTCCCAACTGCGCTCACGCTTCCTTCCTTTAAATTATCAAAGCGTGACGTCCCCAATCCAAATCGGTTTCTATGCGCGTTCTTTGACCTCGGCCGGCCGAAGCATTATATATACAGGTGCATTTTATGTTGAGTTAAGTTTACCACACCAGACCTTGTCCAAACGCCAAGTCTACGCTGCTTCGCTCTGTAGAATTGTATTGTATTGACTGTGTGTAAAAGTGTAGTAAATAATACTTGAAAATACTCTCACGGAGTAACTTTTGCGTTTCCTTCAAAAGTCGCGGAAAACAATTTAAATCTCCAATCCCCTTTTCCTTTAATTATAAGAAGTAGCTCTCAACAACTGATCATTGTTGATCACCCACTTCTGTAAAATAGTTTTTGGATAACAACTGATTCTCTCTGCTAGATATATATTTTCTACTCATTTTTGAACATTTTCAAGTTGATAGAATGTACATAAAGCACCAGAAAAAAGAATAACATACACACCCGCTTTCTTAAAAAATTTTGAGCTGTTTATATAAGCAACCAAAGTTGGCCCTTCATGATTATGAAAAAACCATGTATTTCGAACGTTCAGAAAACTGCCATGACAATCGAAATTCCTCAACAAAGAAAATGTCAACCTTTTATCAAGAATAATGCTTGAATCAGACAAAGTTCAAGATGAGAAGCGTGTTACTGTGGAAATATTCAAGTCATGAAAAAGTTATGGTCATATATATATTTTTTTTGGCAGAAAAACGGCACCTTCGAGGGCCCATTCGTGGTTTACACAGGGAAAGCAGGGTTGGATAACTACCAAGAACTTGTTTCTTACCAAGGAAAACCTTACTTGGAGTATTGGAAAGACCAGCTCGGTGTTCCGAAAGAGGAGAGGTGCAATATTGTCAGAGGCACCGACGGCACCGTTTTCAAACCATACCTCAAGAAAACAGACAAACTGGGCATTTTCACCACTGATTTCACCACTGATACCTGCAGGTGAGTTATGCTCACATATATGCAACGCCCAAAGGATGAATTGTGATAATCCCTTTTTCGCAAAAGGCCTGAAAAATTGCCTCCAGAAAGAGCAAAGCAATTATATTTCAGCAGACTTGAAAGTTTGAAAGCAATAAATAAATCAGCAGTGCTTCAAAGACCGATCAAAGACCGACTAAAATGGGAATAATTGAGGGGTTTGAAAGGACGGATTGCGCAATTTGTAAATTCCGTGGAATTTCCCCATTGAAAGTCCTGATCTGAATTTTAACTGTATTCCTTTTAGGTATTCTTGATATTCATGTGACACCTGTACCTTACACCAGTGCTCCTGGTCTGCATACCACGGGTTGGGGAAACACTGTGTTAAATTAAACGTGTTTGACTTTGCAGGGTTCTGGATACTGAATTTACTGAAGAAGTGACCCATTTGGGAATCGACGGGTACCGATTCCAAGTGCCGTCTTACGCACTGCAGAGTCACGAGGTGAACCCTGACAATTTGTGCTACTGCTACCCTGATGAGAGTGCCTGCATGGGTGCAGGTGTCATCAACCTTGTGTCCTGCATGCGTGAGTGCTACTGCTGCTGGTCAGCAATTTAATTTCACGGGTTCCTCATCATCATTGGCCTATTATTGTTACTATATACAGTGGACCCTCGGTTACTAACCTTTTATCCCCAAAATAAAATTTTATATCCGGTTAAAAAACCAAAATGACGTTAACCCGTTTTTCAGAAAACTTGGGATGTTTGCGCAAAATGTTGTGCCCATGAGAACTGAAAATTTTAAAAATCTCATTTCTGGACAAAGGCCTACACTTGGAAAAAATATGATATTTTATATATAATCCAGGAGAAAATTTGGACTCCGAAAAATCCTCACTGGGTGGTATTTTTTCAAGCATTCCCGGCGTAAGAGTAACATTGGGGATTTCTAACGACGAAATCACATTGTCTACCAAAGATTTTTCTGACTTAGGTATTCTTATATAAACTGGGGAAATTTCAGTGACCTTTCGTCAAACTGAAATGCTTCTTCCCCCAAAAACACTGACTCTGCGCTGCAGGATAGACAGGAACTGTGAGCCATCTATGGGTTTAGAAACTTTGTTTTGCAGGCAAAAATGCCAAATTTGGTTATGCTACTGAACTGTGTAGGGTAAAATCTTATTATCTCAAGCAAAAAAATTAGTAGGCAGACCAAAGGATTTTACAAAACATTTTACAAGTTTGTTAAACATTACGTGAGTAAATCAGGGTGTGCCATGGATGCTCCACAGTTTGTGCAGAATCAATTGAGCAAATGATTTCCAACTGCAAGAAGCTTTGAAAAAAAAAGTACTTTCAAGCTTATTTTTCTATTTTTTTCCACTGTTCAACTGCTGAATGTATTTCTTTAATATAGTATTTTAAAATTAGCATTTCATTTTCTGGTGACAGTTATATATCCTGTNATGCTGCTTTCATGAAAGGCAGCATCAAAGACATCTTGTTTTCCGGAGCTGAGTCAAACTTTTTGGGGGGCTTGGTAACGGTTTTGGAAAATTTCGGAAGTCTCATAGAAGGCATTCCGGAGTTACCACCAAATATCATCCCTATTCCAAACAACAAGACTGGCTTCGCCTTGTATCCGGTGAGCATGCACATCTTGTACAAGCGAATTTGGCATTTATTTCTGGAATTTTATTTCTATACTAGTCCCAACATAAATGGGTTTTTCTTTCTTTCGAAACATGCTGTCAAAATGCTGTCCCCATTATGGTAACATATTATATAATCGTCAGTCATATAATCCCTTGTGAGTTGTCACTGGGCCTTATATGAGTGTTACTACACTCTAACTAAATTCTCTTCACTGCAAATACTGACCCATACATAGCAACCAGGATCCCCCATCCTCAGAACCCATCTGAACCTCGCAGGAGCAACAGCTTGCGCGGGGATACCCCTTGCGGAGGGTATTTAGGCCTTGCAAAAAACTGCAAGTACTCTCTCTGGTAGATATATTTTCTACACATTTCTCAACATTCGCAAGTCGATAGAACGTACATAAAGCACCAGAAAAAAGAATAACATACAGACCCGCTTTCTTCAAAATGTTGGAGCTGTTTATATAAGCAACCAAAGTCGGCCCTTCATGATTATGATAAAACCATGTATTTCGAACGTTCAGAAAACTGCCATGACAATTGAAATTCCTCAACAAAGAAAATGTCAACCTTTTATCAAGAATAATGCTTGAATCAGACGAAGTTCAAGATGAGAAGCGTGTTACTGTGGAAATATTCAAGTCATGAAAAAGTTATGGTCATATATATTTTTTTTTTGGCAGAAAAACGGCACCTTCGAGGGCCCATTCGTGGTTTACACAGGGAAAGCAGGGTTGGATAACTACCAAGAACTTGTTTCTTACCAAGGAAAACCTTATTTGGAGTATTGGAAAGACCAGCTCGGTGTTCCGAAAGAGGAGAGGTGCAATATTGTCAGAGGCACCGACGGCACCGTTTTCAAACCATACCTCAAGAAAACAGACAAACTGGGCATTTTCACCACTGATTGGAGTATTGGAAAGACCAGCTCGGTGTTCCGAAAGAGGAGAGGTGCAATATTGTCAGAGGCACCGACGGCACCGTTTTCAAACCATACCTCAAGAAAACAGACAAACTGGGCATAAAGTGGTGACTATGGACGTCCACTCAATACGAGTGTATATACGTTGCGGGTTTCCTACTTAACACTATTAGGGAAAAAGCGTTTTCCGGACTTTTTAACGGAGGTCTTTCTCGTTTCGTTAATATAATTTCAGCAGACTTCAAAGTTTGCACGCAATAAATCAATCAGCAGTTTCAAATGCTTCAAAGACCGATCAAAGACTGACTAAAATGGGAAAAATTAAGGGGTTTGAAAGGACGAAATTTCGCAATGTAGAAATTTCGTGGAATTTCCCCTTTGCGAGGAATTCCTGATCTGAAGTAACTAAATTCCTTTTAGATATTCTTGATATTCATGTGACACCTGTACCTTACACCAGTGCTCCTGGTCTGCAAACCACGGGTTGGGGACACACTGTGTTACATTAAACGTGTTTGACTTTGCAGGGTTCTGGACACTGAATTTATCGAAGAAGTGACCCATTTGGGAATCGACGGGTACCGATTCCAAGTGCCGTCTTACGCACTGCAGAGTCACGAGGTGAACCCTGACAATTTGTGCTACTGCTACCCTGATGAGAGTGCCTGCATGGGTGCAGGTGTCATCAACCTTGTGTCCTGCATGCGTGAGTGCAACTGCTGCTGGTCAACAATTTAATTTCACGGGCTCCTCATCATCATTGGCCTATTATTGTTACTATATACAGTGGACCCTCGGTTACTAACCTTTTATCACCAAAATAAAATTTTACATCCGGTTAAAAAACCAAAATGATGTTAATCCGTTTTTCAGAAAACTTGGGATGTTTGCGCAAAATGTTGCGCCCATGAGAAATGAAAATTGTAAAAATCTCATTTCTGGACAAAGGCCTACACTTGGAAAAAATCAGATATTTTATATATAATCCAGGAGAAAATTTGGACTCCGAAAAATCCTCACTGGGTGGTATTTTTTCAAGCATTCCCGGCATACGAGTAACATTGGCGATTTCTAAAGACGAAATCACATTGTCTACCAAAGATTTTTCTGACTTAGGTATTCCTATGTAAACTGAGGACATTTCAGTGATCTTTGCAGTTTGACTTTACGAAGAAGGGGGTTTTTGTGACTGAGACGCGACGTCCTATCTGTCCTTGACACTCGGTAGATACCCAAATCTTTGAAACAAAACGTCCGTTTTTACGGTTTAAACCAATACGATCTGAACTGTGTAGGGTAAAATCTTATTATCTCAAGCAAAAAAATTAGTAGGCAGACCAAAGGATTTTACAAAACATTTTACAAGTTTGTTAAACATTACGTGAGTAAATCAGGGTGTGCCATGGATGCTCCACAGTTTGTGCAGAATCAATTGAGCAAATGATTTCCAACTGCAAGAAGCTTTGAAAAAAAAAGTACTTTCAAGCTTATTTTTCTATTTTTTTCCACTGTTCAACTGCTGAATGTATTTCTTTAATATAGTATTTTAAAATTAGCATTTCATTTTCTGGTGACAGTTATATATCCTGTTCATACAAGAATGCTTTTGTGGATATGAAGCTTTTTGAGAGTTGTTTGCATTTATTATACTTCCATCACACCCTAAAAATTATTGTGAATGCACATATTCTGATTATAGTTAATTGCCCTAAATTGTTTTTCCTTTAAATTTTAAATCATACTTTTGATACCACAAATGGATTAGCTTTTTATCTATTGAAGTCTCTGCGAAAATAAAATTTGGTTGACAAACTTTTGCTGATTAAAATTTAAATTGCTATTTAAATCAAGTTTGTTAATCAATGACTTGTTATATTCATGTTTTGAACTTTTTGACATAAATAATCCTGAAGTCCACTGGGTTATGCATATTTGAGTATCATTTGAATGAAAGCTGATGGTCCAACGTCAGTTGAGCAGCTCAATTACTGTATTCAAGGAAATTTGTCAAAGCCGTCTTCAATGATACATTTTTATATCTGGATAAAACTTTATTTTATCCAAAAACAACAGAAGAAAGGCGGAAGTACTACTTGATTGACCCGCAAAAATGGAGAAACGTGTTTAAAACATTTTACAGTAATTTCGGAAATTTTTCAGATGTACCCGTGTATCTGTCATTGCCACATTTTCTGGAAGGCGACGACGTATACTTTAATGCTGTCGACGGACTAGAAAGAAAACCGGAAATACATTCAACCTTCCTGGACGTCGAACCCGTATGTGTTCATTGTACTGTACGCAGAAAATCCGCATTCTCTGGTTTATGCGTCTCCTTTATTTTATTTTTTTGCAGTTGACTGGAATCCCACTGAGAGCAGCCAAGAGAATTCAAATGAATTTCAAGTTGCGGAGCTACGACTTGAACAGATTTCCGGAAATCCTGAAAAAGATACCTGATGGCATGGTTTTACCCATACTTTGGGTTGAAGAGGTGATTTGAATTTTGCAAAGAAAAGTCTTCAAGTTAGAAGGAAAATGCTTGCGTGATGGCTCATAAGTTTCAAAACTCCAGCACGAGTTTCAAGGGCTGCAATTTTTTTCTTTATATAATGAAAAAAATATAATTTTAATCGGCAAACACTGCATTGAACGGTAATTGAGTTGGACTAGTTTATAATGAGGCAATGATACTGAAGTCTTCTACAGAATGAGAATGAATCCCTCAGTAGTCTGGATAATATAATATGTCCCGAAACTCAATGACAATCCTTTGGATAGTTGAACCTCTCCAAGCCAAAGTTGTAAGAACTCAAAACAATTCGATTACCGGTTTAGTTTTTAAAGCATAAATCGTCGCCTTATTTTTTGTGCGTTAAAATATGAAAATGATTTTCTGGCATAAGCATCGAAAGAGTTAATCATTCTTGAATGCCATACATTCATGATATTTCTCATTCCTTCGCAAAAATCACTAAAAGAATAATTCGCAACTTTTCTAGACCAGATATTCTCAAATTTGGCCTCGTCAGTTTAATGCCCCGAAGACACCAAGAAATATTTTAGAGGATGAGGCCTCAAAGCCAAAATATGTCGGGTTAGGGAGGTTCAAAATGCACTGGTCAGGGATTCACCGGAATCATGAAATCTATCATGAAATCTTAAGGTTGGGAAAGTTAATTCACTTGGGGAGGATTAACTTTTATGGAGAGATCGAAGTGCAAAAGTTTAAATCTGCTTCTTCACATACTTCCATCACTGCTGTGTTTATCCGCCGACAAAATTATTTCCACGCATCCGAATGCATCATAATTATGCTTTGAAATTCTTATCGTATAAATATTTTTTTTCCTCTATCATGAAATCCTCTCTGAAAAGTATGGTGAGCTGAACAAGGAGCTAGCTGATGACTTCAAGTCCAGGATCATGACACCCATGAAAGCCATTGGGATCGTCAAATGGGTCCTGCTCGCATTCGGGTTGTTCTTGTTGCTCGTCGGGATTGCTCTTTATGTCTGGGCCAAAAGGCGAAATTCAGGCACCAGCTTTCAGTAAATATTTACTGATCGGCACGATCAGGTTCTGATCTCCAAGAAAAGCAAAAGAAAAGGGCGATGATAATCATCACGATACGAGCGTCCCGCGACATTTTTCTCGAAATTCCATCTGTTTTGTGCAATATGCAAATGATGTGTTGTGTGTGGTTCAGGAACGGGGATTGAATGAAATGAAGATATGTGAAGGTTAAACCGACGACGAATTCTTCATTCCTCCAAACACATTTATTTCGACTGCAGTTTTTCAATTTTTCTTCAGTTTTTCGATCAAGTACTACTGTTCGTTAATTTCCGGATGAGACAGAGATGTTCTTATCATCACCTGTGGCACGTATTAAACAAATTATCTCTAAAAACTCTTGCAGATGTCCGAGAACTTGAAAAATAAAGAATCATGCTGTATTTCATGCCTGATCCAATCAAGTAAGCATCAAATTGCTGGATGCAAATCTTGATTATTTTCTTCGAACGACGATAGAGTGAATGAATATTGGATTAAATTGACCAGCAGAAGGTGAAAAAAACTCACAGTTCGCAAGAACATCTACTTTCAAAAACCAAACTCTTACGATAAACGCAAAAATTGGACTTTATTTTAATAAAAGACGCTGTTATTCGTTTGATTCAAGGGAAATTTATGCGGAATTTGTTCATTAAAATAGCGTGAAATTTTAAGTTTTTCCAGCAAGAAAAGTTACACAATTTGTCTCCCTGTCTGATGAAAAATCCCGAATAATTTCTGAATGCCGACCGATTTTTATTGCACCGAAAGTAAAATCGCGTGATTTTCCTGCAGGTATCTGAAATGTTCGGCCTTGATTCAGCACATATTCCTATCTCAGATTGTCGGAGAATGCAACGGGTTTATTGGGTTCTCAAGTGCATGCTCGACATAATACACATGATGTGGCTCAAAGATCTCCGAATCTGTTATCAGGCCACGCATTTCGTTTTTGTTTCGTCACTTGTCTTCAAAAGTATACATGAGTTCAGGGAATGATCACAAAGCATGAAAAAATTAAAAAATTCGTAGCTTTGAAGAGTCGATCCAACAGAAATTATGAAGCATAATATCTTGCATATGAATTAATTGCGCCTCATCCTACAAAATGAAAGCCATTGTTCAAAAAAATTGAAAAGTATGAAGATGATAATGTACGTGCTTTATATCTTAATTATAAATTTTCAGACTGCTGAGAAAATTTAGCTTGATTGTTTCGATTCAATGATCTGCTATATAATGCGAATTCTCTCGTAATCATGGGAAATTTGTAATAAATCAGTCAAGGAAGATAACTCGTCGTTTTGCTGATTATTCAATCTAAAACATTAAAAGGTGTTCAATCTTCACGAAAAAATTGCTTGTATTTCAAACAATCACTGGGTCGTAAAAATTACAGACACGTGGCGCATTTCAGTCGCGTTTATCGTCCGTCATCCTATTGCCAGCAATCACTCGAAAATTCGATTACAATTGGAAAACAATGACCAAAGTCTGACCCAAGAAAGCTGACAACGTGAAATGACAGG